AAGATCCTCGACGGCTCGCCGGCCATTACGACCTTTTCTGAAGCGTTAATCGAAAGAGGTCTTGTATAGTCAGAGTCACTGTCCCTAAGGAGATGATCGGTAGATGGATTGAAGAAGTTGTGTAGGAGCTCCAAGGAGCGATTACGGTAGGCCTCCTTGAGCTCGACGGTGATGGCAGATGACGTCATATTCTGAAGACGGTGAGGGAGGGGGGCCTGCTTCCGCTTATGGCGAGACATTTAAGGAATGTTCAGCTGTAAAGCTGTCATCAACAGCTGCGCACTGTGCGAGTAGTTAAATGATGTGCGCCACGGGTAAAATGACTCTTTTCTTAGCTACCCGCAAACAATCAAGGGTGCAGAGAAATACTATTCTAATCGTGCGTAGTGCTTGGTAGGGCTAGCTTACCTTAGTGTTCTAATTGTATTGCAAATAATGCAATGTGACATTTCCCAGGGTCATCTTCATATTGGGGAATTTTTGAAACTAGACGATCTCTTCCCCTCCCACGACTTTTTGAGAAGTCCCCAGCTCAGCCTTTTTCCCAAGATCGATGCTGTCCGTAACGTCTTTGAATCTGGTACATCTTGGCACACATTGAAACTCCGCGCCACCAAAGTTCCAAAAGTTTGTGGAGCAAGGGAGGGGTCAGCAGCGGTTGGAAGGAACGTATTTATTAAAGTCGTCTGAACGGCAAAATATCTAAAGTTTCTCAAGACTTCGTAAGAAATTTTCCAGCTTCTCGAAACTTGTTTGTTCCCACTTCTCTCCAAAAATGATACCCTTCTTCCCCGAATGCGACCCCTAGAACTACTCTTCTGTTTAGAAGCAGGTGTAGTTAGGCTACATTGTATCGAACATGATTCTCACTACATTTGGACGGGTTCATTTTTTTCTCGAATGTGTGGTTCGAGGCATGATTACATTTTTGTTATGGTTACATTGTTGAAAACGAAATGTGTCATGTCGTTCATTCCAGAATACGCTCGCTGTCATCGGTCTGATTCAACCGACAGGGTCCATTATGCCTATATCCGAGATGCAGACTCGCGTTTTTGTTGCGGCTCTCAATGTAAGTGTAAGACTTTGTCGTTGTCATAATGGTGCTAGCGTGTGATTTGTAGAATCTACGCTTTCCTCAAAACATTTCGACCGAATGAATGTATTTTCAGGGAAAAATCAAACTTCCTCCCAAAGAAAAGATGGAGAGCGATATAAAGCGAAAGCATGAGAGGATGGCTAAAGAGTTTATTCCAAGTAGGAGACACACAATTCAGGTATTTCTGCTTCTCGTTCTATCCTTCACTTAGGCATTGTTTATAAAACACATTTTCGTTATTAGGTCTATTACGTCGAAATTATGGAAGAGATGGCTCATCTACTAGGATGTAGTCCCTCGGTATTTTGGCGTTTCTTCTACGATCCACGGCTTGCAAATGCTCTCTATTTCCATGGACTCGTACCATACCAGTACAGGTTGCAGGTGAGATGCACGAGTTACATTCGATAAAAACAACTTCACCAAAGGGATGCTTTTATAGGGACTCCATTCGTGGCCTGGAGCACGTGAGGCTATTCTCTCGTTCGAAGACCGTGTATTCAACGCTACGCGCACGCGACGCACAAAAGAGACCCTAAGCAGCAGAACCGCCTATAAAAATGTTTCAATTTTTGCGTCTCATAGAATGAATTCTCTGTTCCAACGAATTCTTCTCACTATTCCTGTGATGTGAATGTAAATTTGTCTCTTATTCTGTAATCCCTTCTCTGTTCATTTGTGTGGTATTCTCGACGACAGATGTTGTTTTCAAGATTTCTTGTATTTTTTCACTTTCTATTCGCTCATAATGAAATGTCGGAGCAAAAATTAGGGAATTCAAGTGTGGCACTCCGATTCATTTGCAAACTATGCGTACATGAGCGGTCGCGGCCGTGTCTGTTCGGGGTCTGGAGCGCTTCCACTTTATTAAGCCTTGCTCACGCTTACCCCAGAGATACTTCTGCGCTGGGGGTTGGTGCATTCGGGCTCCGTGCTCGCTGTTTAGAGTCCGCCTGAAATCCCCGCCCACGCGCACAACGTTGAACACTGCCTTTAATCCATTCCTGAATGTTTTTAAGATGCACACATGTGATGCCTTTAGCTAGACGTATAGCGCGGACATGTGATAACGCAACTAGGATTTATTATTTCACAGCTATTTTTGAAGCGCTTTATGAGACTTACTACAACGACATTGACACTTGACGTATTTACAGTGAAACTCGCTCGAAATTGAACAGAACGCGACTTTGGGTGCGATTATCAGATGGGCTGCTACTCGTGCCTCTATTAATTGATTTTCCTTTCTTGTAGTGCTGAGCAATCCAACGGCAATTCAGAATTGATACTATTGAACAAACTGAAGCACACCCAAACTCCACTGATTCAGGAATGATCATCATCCCGTTTTTGGTTGCGACTGTATGTGTCTTTGTTCTGCAAAGAAAATGTGAAAAGTCTCTACGACCATCGTTCAAGCTCCTTTCATTTCTCAATGACGATCTGATGGAACGTTCTCCACTGTGACGGGAGAGACGCTTCTATGTGTCTTATTTATTTGAGGACCATTTGTCAAATTAACATCTAATCCAAATCTTCCAAAAAAAGCACTTAATTGTAGTCATATGAAAAATAAAGGTAATGAATTTGCTTATCCAGGAATATTACAACGAAGATAAAAGATGCACTGAGTGAGCGCCTGAGCTATTTACATAAACTGGAGCATTCCGTGCAGATTATATTCTTGAGCAGGACCAAACGTCACGACAACTGCAGCATTAGTATCCCTAGTATTTCAAAAGTTACGGCTACCATACCTGAAATTGAACGTACGGGAGTCGGGATCGAATTCTATGTTATTTTGTTCGAAAATAAGACAAAAAGTGTGATGAGGAATGTAAGCAGAGAGAAAAAGCAAAAGCGCAATAAAAGCCGCTGGAATCTTCCGTGAGGTTGGCCATGGTAGGATGAGGAGACACAGGGCTATGAGAGGGAAAACGCGAGAAAGCACTGTAAGCGAGAGAGCGCAGACGCCATGATTGCTAAGGATGGTAGCATCGGCAACACAGAGGGCAAGGCTTAGGCGCAGGGTGAATATCGGTCGAGGAAATCCTCGACAGGTGTGTCGTATTTGTCAGCGTCAGTCATGGGGGGTCGTACTCGTGGGTCAGTAACATCAGTGGCATCGTGGTGCAGATAGGAGTAGAGGGTGTAGCGCAGCAGAAAACGAGGAATATATGAGAAAAAATGATATAAAATATTCTTTGCAGGTTCAGTCGCTCCATTCCTCTACCTTTATGAGAAGGACGTATTTGAAAGCAGTACAAAGAATGAAAGTGCATCTCCGCAAGGAACGGGATCCACGGGTCACACGCGCTGGAAAGGCACCTCCACTATCTACCGCCCGCCAGGGTCATCCGTCACGTTCGAACATTTTCGGGGTTTTTTTGCGACCCCCTGTTTTTGTTAAGAGTGCTAGACATGAATCCGTTGCGCCAGAAAGCGTCTGCCGCCGCCGCAGACAGCGTCTGCGTTGCGGCGTCAGCCTTGGAGCGCGGCAGGTATCACCCGGGCGCTGGAAGAACGGGACGCGGCGAAGAAAAAATTTTAGAGGGGAATAACTTTCTTGGGACGTACTTTTTTGACTTGTTGAGGTAGATTTTGATTGTGCCTGAGGTGCGCTTTCAGAAAACTACAAGGATTGCCTAACTCTCCGAAAGTGGAAAACCCAAAATTCTAGAAGGCGCACCTTCAATTTTGAAGGTGCGCCTTCTCAAAACTTTGTGTTTTTCCTTTCCTTTCCCCCCTCCCTTCCCCCCTCCCCTCCGTTGGTAGTCGTAGCAAACAGGGTTGATCCTGCCGTGAGCCAATGCGTCTCTGTTCTCTCACAACCAGGGTCAACCCTGCGTTGCGCAAATCCAAAATTTTTACGACCCCCTTCCTTTTCGGAGGGTATCGGTACGACCCCCCGTATTAACTATTATGTCTTTCACATAATTTAATGCTCATCATTGATGTGTGGGCAGTCACCAACATGGAGAAGTGGTGGACCGTGGTAATCCGCGCGCTCTGTCTCGCTCAGAGGAGGGAATCGAGGCAACATGAAGTTTTATTCATTAAATAGAAGGAATTTCCAAATTTTTGCGTAAACCAATACATGATAATAATCACAAAGATTTCTACTTTCAGAAACCTACCAAGTTTTTTTCGATCTCTCAATTTTCCTTATTTTATAATCTGAAAAACTAAACCTTGTAGCAATTACGTTGCAATCAAACCCCTCCATTCAGAAGGTTATATTTTCTTTCAGAAGCGGTCTCATGGAACCGGACACAA